CGTGTGTGTGGCTGGTCGTAGCCGTGTTGTCTAGACACACACCGTGAAGTCAAACAGTTTGCTTCTCTCTAATAATGGTAATTGCGCCTCGACGTTCACGATTTCTGTCTTTAAGAAATTCAAGTTTTTATATTGTGTTCATATAGTAAGGTGCATATGCACGTAATTGCCTGTTTAAAAATACTATAATACGTATACACCTATATGTGTATTCGCACCCAAGTACATCAATGCTAGCATGTACAAGTACTGTACATCAATGCATGTATATGTAATAAAATGTACATAAAGTGTAAATACACACAGGTATATAAACTACACAGTAAATAAATACACATACCTGTTGACAACGGTCGGTCAAGAGTGATTTGCAAGCAGGACCACGGAAGACACTAACGCACGCACACAACCTCCCGGAACATGTCAGAGAAGTACACAAACTACCACAGTAAAGTACATGGGGTTGATGAACTCTGGTGGTGCCACACTAAGCCTCCTACTGGACGCGCCAACCCTCGGGAGCACAAAATTATCAGAGTTAAGAGGCCATTTCAGGGGTTCAACTGTGATGCGATTATTTATGGAGCTGTGTGTGTGGGATTGAAAGTGACTAGTGTTATGCTTCACGTAAATCTTTAGGCTAACCTGTAAAAATGCACAAATATTCAACTGTATTGGAAGAATATATAGCTTAAAGATTTACATATGGTTTGACATTCCCCCAAAATAGCATCACCAGGTATGGCCCTTTCAATATTGTACAAGTAGGATCTATAAGCAACAAAATCGACGACCAATGCTGTACAGGTGGACCAAGTGGAGACAGGAGGGATAGAATTATCGCAAAACAGGGGATGGCAGTGTTAAAGAAATGATGTTATACGAAAAGAACTAAGTGGGGTATGCTATAACGAACGGTTTTACCTATAAAATTGAGATTGCTATAACGAACGCAACTCCTACAACGAACGCGGATGAATACCGGACTACTTCGCCTGGCGCATGAATATTGTTGTACCGCGACCCACAACAAGAGCGTCAGGCGCCATCTTTGTCTCATTGTGTAGCCAGTGCACCACTGTTATTGTTGAAATTTCGTCTTTTGATGTGGAAATTCGCGTTATTTGTATAACTATTTTGTTATACAAGTATACAATTGTAACAATGAGTCGTCCAAAGCGAGTGAGAAAGCTAATAACCCTTGAAACTAAGAAAGAAATTATAAAGAAACGTGAGAATGGAAGAAGCATTGCGAAACTTAGTGATGTATGGGATGGCTAAATCGACTATATGTACGATTTTGAAGAATAAAGAGGAGTTAAAAACTGTGCAAGTGGCTAAGGGAATCTTTAGACTTAGCAAAGCAAAGTGTAATGTGATTGAAGAGATGGAAAATTTACTCTTAGTGTGGATAAAGGAGAAAGAAATGGCAGGTGGTAACATTAGTGAAGCTATAATTTGTGAGAAGGCTAAACAATTGTTTGAGGACCTTAAAGCCAAGACTCCCAGTGGAAGTGATAGTGATGTGCCAGTGTTTAGGGGTACCTGCATGCTGAATAACACTAAGGTAAGATAAAGTACCGTATTTTTTACATTTTCCACAGAATTTTTTGAGTGTTAAGCGGTTGTATTTGGGGGCCTGGAACGGATTAATCCTATAACGAACGAGGTTCTGGAACCAATTACGTTCGTTATAGCATACCCCACTGGCTATTGGTACGCTTGTCTTGGTAAACATTTGCTGGTTCCGTGTTCTCTGAGAATGGTTGCCAATATTAAGTGCACCTCTATAGACATAATGAAAGTTTCCGTGTGTATAATATATACTATAAGACCTACAATAGCAACCAATATATGGACGTGTGTAAACAAACCTGGTAATTCCAGAGGGGCTCGTCGCCGTGCCTCACACACCGTCTTAAATCGATAAATGTGATTTAGGTATGAGACACCACCAGTACTGTGTCCAGCCCAGAAATTAATTAATACACATGAGCCAGCGGACCAATAGGGAGGAGCGAGGGAAGGTTTCTGTGTACCATCTCATGAGCAAGAACAACAACACTGATATTCCACATAGAGATCGTAATCCTATTTGGATCACCTGAAGATTAGCCCTCCAAGCTTATTTCACCTGATGATTAAACACCTTAACATTATCTGGGATGAGAATAGGTTATGTTAGGTTAGGTCAGGTCATCATAAGGTTAGGTTAGCATTAGGGTGATTAATTCTATGGAGAAATAACCAGGGGTAAATGTTCAGGTGAGCCTAATATTCTTTGCCTTGTGTATATAATTGGTCCGAATTGATTACATAATCCCTATGATATCTTACTTGCTGTCGAATTTGTATTATTATTATTATTATTATTATTATTATTATTATATATATATATATATATATATATATATATATATATATATATATATATATATATATATATATATCATTGTTGTAACCACGTCTTAGTTATGTGACTACGTACATTCATTGGTGCTTTATTTGTTTGTTGTATTTAGTAGTAGTATAGTAGTGGGCGGTGGTGATGGTATTATTATTATTGGTAGTAATAATAGTGGTGGTGGTAGTGTTAATAGTGGGTGGTGGTGATGGTAGTATTAATAGTAGTAGAATAGTGGTAGTAGTGGGTAGTACAGTATCTGTAAAGGTAGTGGTTTAAAACAGTAGTACAGGTAGTAGTAAAGAATAATGGTGGTGGTAGTAGTATTGATAGTAGCAGCAGTAGTAGTAGTAGTTTTATTCACTGGTGAGACTATGAGTTTTCAATGTGTCATCACCATCAAGTATAGTTACCAGCACAGTATCACCTGCCTCTGTTGTCACCAGTGAGTCACCATTAACAGCAGCCCCACCGAACCGTCGCTCACCAGTCATTATCACTATTAAGGTCACGGTGACGCGCGTTCACAGGGTATATCCATCCTTACCGACCCATACACTATACTGCCAGCGGTATATACTGTTGTCAGGGGTATACACTACTGTCAAGGGTATACGCTACTGTCAGGGGTATACACTGTTGTCAGGGGTATACACTATTGTCAAGGGTATACGCTACTGTCAGGGGTATACACTACTGTCAGGCATACACACTACTGTCAAGGGTATACGCTACTGTCAAGAGTATACACTACTGTCAAGAGTATATACACTACTGTTATGGGTATACATTACTGTTAAGGGTGTACACTACTGCCACGGGTATGTACTATACTGTCAAGGGTATACATTGCAATCAAGGATATACACAACTACCAGTGACATACACCATAGGTTAGGGTATACCTCTCAATACAGACATACATAAACATTAAGGTTATGCATCACCATAATAAAATACCATAACCATACACAGCCATACCATGATATACACTATACAACCCATAACCCCCACCTCTATACATACACCTCAGCTACCACAAAACATACACCACAACTATCTCAAAACATCACAACCCTCCTTAATCATACAAATCCCACCACTAACATACACATAACAACTCTTCCCAACATACAGTATACACCGCCTCATAACACACATCACACATATTTTTAGACATACACGTGATATAAATTAGCTGGAAGACTAAAGCCGTATGAAAAACAAACCATGATTATTAATTTCGTTTAGTGAGTTAAAAGTTCGTATTTTTTTTTACTGACTTGACTGAGAGAGTTTTTCGTACTTGAGGGATGTTGTGTTTTTGTATGGGTGGGTCGAGTCAGTCTAAGGCCGAGTCTTGGTTAATGTTTTCGTGTTTATTGTCCGGTTATGTGTTTCTCTTCCTTGTTCTGTGTCTATTATTTATTGTCGTGATTTATTTGCCATTGATTATATTCGCCAGATTAAATTGTTGTCACACGGCAACATTCGCCAGAGATATTCACCTGGTTAAGTTGTTAACATAAAGGAAGTAGGCAGCTGTCAAACAGGGAGGTACTTCCGCTTGGGAAGATATTGGAAGCATAATGGGTTGCTTAATGGTAGACCCTGCTGTCATATGGCATAACAAAAGTTGTGACCAAATCCCAGGTTGCTGATCTGACTTTCTGCCTCATTTACACACAGTTGCAGGATCTCAATTGTTTCTCTTACCACTAACAACACAACATATAAATATTGTTTCTCACTCTTGATCTTGTTTATAATTTTTTAAATTCTTTATTACTGTACTATTATTATTGCAGTGTTATTATTATTATTATTATTATTATCATTATTATTATTATTATTATTATTATTAGTATTAGTATTATTATTAGTATTATTATTAGTATTATTACATTTTCGCCCCCCAGGCCCCGATGTGGGTCAGTAACCTTTGCCCGGGTGGGCTAATCTCCGTTAATAAAAAATCGCCACTTTAGATTGATAGCATTTAATTTTTCGCCAGTTAAAATAGTCGACGTAAAATTATTATACTAAATTGTCGACTTAATATGTTCACCTGCTTAAATTATCAGTTTAAGATTACACATTCAACAGTTTTATTCACCACTTTAAATTATTACCATCTTTCTTCTCCATTATCAGTCCTGCGTCTCATCATCTTCACCATCGTGACTATTAGTATCACCATCAATTTCTTCATAAGATCACCATAGAAATCACTGTCGCTACCGATTATCATCAGTATTACACAACCTCACCATCACCAGTTATTATCACTGTCACCAGTCATCTTCACTGTCTTCATCTGTCACTGTAACCACAATTATCCGTTGTTATATTCATTTTCTTGAGTAACAATTTTACTGCCTTCAGATTTCGTTTAAAAAAACAAAACAGTCACAATACATCGTTATAAAAGCTTCTCGTCGTCACCAGAAAAGTCATGGGATTCAGTTAACATGTCATTTATTTCATTGCCACCCACAGCTTTGCTCCCCACTGTAATATCACAAAAATAAATAATAAATATGAGAAAAATTTACACAAGATATTTATTTCTTAACAAACTGTGTCAAATGTTTACCGTGTTAACAGGACGGCCTGACATTTAGCAGGTATATCATCAGTAGGTTGAGCAAGCCGTCAGCAGCAAGGGGTTCCAGTCGTAAGTTTTGGGCGCGATATTATTCGGGTGAACCGCCAGGACACACACAGCTGGAGCGAGCGAGAGAGAGAGAGAGAGAGGTAGGCTACCGGGTATGAACTGAGCTCATTCACAACTGCGGACAGTCAGGCATGGACAAGAGGGGGACAGCTGCTGCCTGTGTGTAGTTCGCGCGCGCGGACCGACGGTGCCTTGTTGGGGCCTTCAGTTCCTCCCGACAAAAGACAACAATAACTTGATTTCAGGTGCATCTTAAAGAGAAAAACGATACTACGAGACCTTATCTGGTAAATACGCAGCTGTCCAATCTCTGGGGAATTAGATCGAAAAATAACTGAAAAAAATAGACACAACTGCAATCTAGAGGGATTGCCATTAGCACATCCGGACCCATGGTGTTATTGAGGGCTGCTGCTGGGCGGGTCATGTATATACTAATCGCCCATGTCCGATTCTGTGTGATTGGTGTCCAGGTTCCCGTATACCGTAATGGGTTGTTATTGCGTCAGGCCATGTGACCGGGGAGACAAAGCCGTGAAATGACTGTGAGCCCAGAACTGGAAGGCGGGAGTAACGTTGAGATAATTAGCCCCCTAATCGTGTTCGTGTTACGTTTAATCCGCAATGTAGGTCACGGGAGGTCTTGGCTGCGTGGGGGGAGCGTGTCAGGTAGAGACAGAGACAAAGAGAGGGTGAGTTAAGGAGGGCTAGAGAAACCAGACAAAGAAGAATGAGTGACAGGAAGGGTAATTGAGTGAGTGAGTGAATGACAGGAAGGGAGATTGAGTGAGTAAGTAACCAGAAGAAAGACTAGTGAAGGAAAGCTAAATAGTCATTGACAGAGAATAAGAGAAAGAACGTGGAGGACATGGTAGATGGTGAATGAATAGGGAGAAATCCAGACAGTGTGTATGTGAGAGATAGAGAGAAATTTAAAGTAAGGATGAGAACTTAATTTGTGACTGTATGAAGACAATACAGGGTCAAATATCTCTCTCTGATTTTACTTGAACAAAAAGTCCTTCAACCAAACCTCCATCACCTATACCTTCTCCCTCCCTCTACCACACCCCCATCACTTATTCCTCCCCCCCCTCTACCACACCCCCATCACCTATACCCCCCTCCCTCTGCCACACCTCCACCACCTGCGTTTCCTCCTCCCCTTCCGCCACTTATCAAACAAGAGTTAATATCACTCCCCCTCCACTGGTAGACTTTTTCTTCCAATCTTGCCCTTTCTATTTTATCCTTACTCCCCCTCTCCCTCCTCATCCCTCCCCTCTCCTAAACCTTCCTTTCCATTTTTCTCCCTCCTTTCCTTCCCTCCCTACCGTCCCCCATCCCTATCCGCCCTCCCATTCCTCCCTCAACACACCCATCCGGTATCTAAATTGCACCCGTTTTTTCCTTTGTTGTATTTATCCCTCTACCTCCTCTTGCCAGTTATGTATACACTATATAGGTCAAGGAAAGCTAGCATTTAAAAATCTAAGAGACCAGATTATAAGGGACATAAATTTCAATTAGGAAAAAAGGGTGCTGAAATGCTAGTATACATGTATATGGTCAGTACTGTTGTATGAGCCAGAGGAGTGAACACGTTCAGCAGGTGAGAGGGCTTTGAAATGTGTTACAATAGCTTTATAGGGGAATGCTAAAAACAAGTTACGCTGACAGGAAAACAAATGGAGTGCTAAGATTGGCAAAAAACATCAAGAGAAATACTTTAAATTAAAAGAAAAAATAACGAAAATGAGATACTTTGATCATATTATTAGGTATAAGACGATAATAGGAGAAATATTACTGGGCAAAACCGAAGTTAGGAGTGCCAGGGGGAAGGCAGAGACGAGTGGAGGAATTAAATTAAAAGTTGAGTCCCCAGTGCAGGGGCGGATCCAGGAATATCAAAGGGGGCAAGGTGTTGTGGGTGAGAGAAAAATTTTTTTTTGTAGGGAAAGGAGAAATGAAGGAAGATTAGAGGTGGGGGAAGGAAGTTATAGTTCGGAAATTGAAGAAATTCAGGAGGAGGTAAGAAAGGGAGGGCTGACCGCCTAGCTAAGCTAATAGCGTGTTAGGGTTGTGTCATGGGTTAGTTATTGTCTGCCGGTACAGGCACTAGACAGCCTACCCTGTCCCTTTATGGGTGATTTAAGGGCCTTATTTCATATTCCGCCGACCCTACTGGCGGATGCTGGTCTAGGGAGGTTGTCTATTGCCTGGCCGTGTAGATCGGGGGTGGTAATGGACCTTTTGAGATTTCGTGGCTTTTTGGGAACCATGTATGGTTGTTGTCGTTATCTGTTGGGAGTCTTTGAAGGAGTTCTTGCTCTGATTGTCCTATCTTTTGCCATATTCTGCTGGCCAGGGTGTGCAGCTGCTGGTTGATGGGTTTTATTCTCAGGTCTCTATGTATCTCGGCTGTGGTTCTGGTGAAGGGGTATCTTTCACCTGTGACGAATCTTAGGGCTTCATTTTGGACCACCTGTAATTTTGATATTTGAGTGGTGCTCATAGTATGAAGAGGTATTGCTGGGTAAGTTAATATCGGTGTGATAAATGATGTCACCAGGCGGAGTTTAATTTTCTGGCGAGCACAGCGAGCACACCCAGCTTGGGGGAGGAGGTGCTTAAGTCTTCCTGAAAAAAATCTGAGGTCAATAGTAATTACTTTTTACTATACAAAAACGTCTAAATATATTATTGCATCAAAGAAAAAGTATTGGGATTTATTATGAAAAGGGAGATCCGAACCACCAAGAGCCCCCAACCCTACCCCCCGGATCCGCCCCTGCCCAGAGACATGCAAAATCTGAGAGGATTGGTTAAAAACAGCAGGTGTTACAATGTCAGTTTTGTAAAACAAACAAACAAACTTTTGACTTGGGCAAGTCCGTTATTAATTGATTTACGTCAAAAAATTACTTTCCTCAAATCGGAACTTAAGGAAAGAAAAGATTTCGGTAACTTATTCTTGTAAACAAAGAAACAAACTTCTTTTTCCAACTTTTATATGACTTATTTGGAATGTTTATTTATTTAAGCCAAAAAATTATAAAATGCCAAGATTTGGGTAATTAGTATCTCTCAGGTGCATATGCTACATCGACTTGGCACAGAAGAAAATTCAATTACTACAATATATGATAAATAATTAAATATAGAAGATTATAATTTTCATATTTTCACTAATCTAATAAGACTTGATTATTTAAAAATACAATAATAAATATTTTAGATTTTTATTTGAGTGTATTTGTTTACGTTCGGTCAGCTGAGAGGTGAACACACGTGCCCTGACAACTACAAGGCACTGTATTTAAGGACATTTAAGGTACTTCCCTTGACTGACAGTTATAATGAAAGATTTCCCATGCAAATACATAGATTAATTGTCAGTATAGAATAATAAAGTGAACACAGCAATATATCTCAATTAGATTCCGTCCATAGTTGATGATTAAAGGAATAGTTTACCTGGTAGCAAATCCCGGACTAGGAATTCTAACCAAACTAATATCACAGGTGTTCTATACTGAATATTATAATGGTTATGATCAAGTTTAAGCTCGGATGTATTGAAATGTGGCTTTATTGGTAAGGTAATTTCTGAGGGTAAATGTTACTTTTAGTCCTATAATCTTCTAGCAACTCAAAAATATACTTTTCCTATGTGTTTTGATGTGTTTTGAGTTACGTTGACTCCCGGGGGTTATGGGTGGGATAAACTAAAAAACGAGTAATTTGCACCAGTTTTTAAGATCAAATTCATTCAAAACACATAGGAAAAACATATTTTTCGTCACTAAAGTATGCATCCTAACCTAACCTATGCATTTGCGACGGAAATATCATAGAATAAAATTGTCTTATAATTTTCTGTTGATTTCACATATATTGCTAGATTTATCATAAAGAATTATAGGACTAAAGTTAACAAATACCTTCCTGAGAAGAGAGCTACTACCAGACGTAGTTGCTCGATTTCGTTCATTTTTCCACATGTACTTATCGTTAAAGTATATTATGACAAAATTCGGGCAAAATTATCATTTCGGTCATCCCTGTATTTAGATATCCAAACTATGACCTAACCTAACCTAACCTAACTACCCTGACCTAGCCACAGAACCCAGGGACTGTATTTAACTGGTGGAGGCTCCCCCCTCTGATTCCCTGGATGACCAAATCGATAATAATACCAAGATTCATTTCAGGTCGAACATGGAATTTCATACTTACCCTTTTCGAGTGTTTTAACTGACAAGACCTCCCCAATTACCAAAAAATATTAGTTGTTTGAAGTGGGCAGGGCTTCGAAGTTGAGGGAAAATGTGGGGTAAAATACTAAAAACGCATTAGACAATCTTTTGAAATCCTTACCTAACCTTACTATCATCCAAAGAATCTCTGTGGAAAAAATTGACAAAATTGAACAAATGGTAATATTGCTGTTCTCAAGGTATTATTTCACTTGTTGCCACTAAACGAATCTTGAGAATTTTATAGTTGGTCAGTAATTTTGACAATTCAAAGAGACTTTTCTTCAATGACATTTCTGGCTCAAATTACGTTTAAGCTAGATATTTAACATTTTATTATGTATGTTCGTACGTGGCGGTACACAATGTGAAGTTCCTCAGTTAGGTTAAGTTAGATTCAAAACTGTTTTTCCGATGGTTTACAATATGTTTTGACACTTTACCTTGATTTTTATAGCAAATTTCTTGATTCTGAGATAGGAAGGGGGGCTTATCTCAGAAACTATTGATTTGCACCAGAAAGGAAGGTCAAATTCGTTCCTAGCTCAACAAAAACCACCGGAAAAACATAGTTTTAACTTCGATCGTATAGTGGTAACAAGTGAAATTTTTCTGCTCTCAGACATTACCATTAGTAATATTTGATATTCATGATTCTACCTTGATCATTGGTAAATTTTTCCTTCCAATCCATAATCGCTTTGATAATTAAAAGCACGTCTTTCCGATAGCTTAGAGAATTCTAAGACACTTTTCTTCTATGACGTTTCCCTCGTAAATGACCTAAAAATTTACTAACATGGGGGTTACGCCCGCCTATACCCCCTGGGATATATTATTTGCCAGTAAAAAATTTCGTAATTGTTGGAATTTAACCATTTCAAAGTTTAGAAAAAATCGTTTTCATTTCCAGGAACAAATAAAACCAAATTTAGTTCAGATGGCCATCAGCAGCAAGCCATAATATATCCTTAGTCTCTGGCAAATTTAAATGGATGCAGCTGAACTATATCTAATGTTACCAGAATTGAACCAAAGTTAGGTTTCATACTCAATTATCCCAAGAATCAACAATTGGTAAATGTATGATGTATAGTTTATTAAATCATTACAGTATGAAAGTTCAGTAACACTGGGTAGTGCATGTTTGACAATCATTCAAGTTAATATAATATATATATTTTTGTTTCAGTTTATCCAGGCAACATGTTACAACACCTGAGGAGTGCATCTCGTGCCTTATTACCTTTAGGATTAAGGTCTTCCATTATGTGTCGGAGGTAACAATTGTGATGCTTTTATTTTGTTATGAAATGAAGAAAATATTTAGTATTCAGGCATGCTTTTCTGATATTTTACTGATTACAGTAAATTGTGATCATGGACTCCAATATATATTTTTAAAATTTATACAGTAAAACAAACAATTTGTTGTTGCTGCTCTTTATTATTACTTCAGTATTTTACAAATTTTTTTTAGGATTGGAAAGTATGCAGTTTAACTTTTCATTCACAGGGAAAATTGTTTAAATTCACTGCTTAGATTTTGCAATTTGTATCTTATCCTCTGATTTTCATATACGGTACAGTATATATTTTAGACGCTCCAATGCTGTCATGTTCACAAAGGGTAAGTCTGGTAGACTTCTCATCTCCATGGCAGTTCCTTTCCATCAATGTTTGACTCTCCACCATAGCTTAGGATTGTGGTTCTCAAACTTTCTTGGTCGCGACCCTAAATACAATTTTGTCCTGACCTGGCGACCCTAAATGTGGGTACCTGTAGGTAGTGTTAATTATCAATCATTTTGATATGTTGTGTTTATTCATATGCAGTAGTATTATTGAATTAATTTAAATCACTCGCACATAATAATTTTTTTTAATTGAACGAAATGAAAAAAATAAATTTTAATGAAAATGAGACTTTATTACAATACACAATTCGGTAGCCTAAGTGACAAAAACAGAATTTTCAGTTGCTAACATGTTGCTGCTTTATTCTTAGATTGAGGTCTTTTGAGTTTTGATTGTACGGTGACAAATTTTAATAATTATAAGAATAAATTTCAGTAACTTTTTTAATCAGACATGACATTAACTTAAAAACTTAGCCAATTAAAAGAAAGCCATAGAAATATGTTTAAATTATATTTAAGATTGTTTGAAGTACTGGTAATCAATTTATTAATATTCACAGTTGCTACTTTCTTGTAAACCTAAATCTCAACATGTATCCAGAATTCTTATTCGCCACAAAATTTAATACAGTGTCCAGTACTGTAGTGTATAAATAACCACATACCTCTCTCCATAGTTATCATCCCGAGTCCTGTGGAATTATCATCAGCCAAGAGGTGAAAGAAGCTCTCTCATCACATCAACCAGTTGTTGCTTTAGAGTCAACAATTATAACTCATGGAATGCCATACCCTCAAAATTTGGAAACTGCCATGAAAGTTGAGGAAATAATCAGAAAAGAGGTTATATAATTTATTAATTTGACTTTG